AATTTTGTTTATTCACAGCTCATAGTCATCTAGGTTTAGATGCTGAAAACCAGGATACACAATTTCAGCTGCTGTACTATAACACTTTAAGTCGTGATCTAAATAATGTTCTTCAAAAATGGAAAATCATTCAAGTTTGAAATGATTATAACTGGTAGTCCATTAAGTATGATACTGTTCGTGTTTTTGAAGCTTTTTCTACTGTTATCCCTTTGATTAAAACAATTTTTTTAATCAAAATATAGTTTTTTCCATTTCGTTTTGATTAAACACAACATCTAACACCCTCTGTAGATTAATGACAGCACCAATGATAGACAAATCTAACAATGGTCTGAGTCATCATCTACAGCATGTCATAAGTGAACGAAAGAAAGAAAGAAAGAAAGAAAGAAAATAGATTCAGTAACTCATCACTTTTGTTTTTTCAATATTTAGATATAACAATAAAAATTATGTCATTTTTCCGTGCATTTAATAAAAGCAATAAAGGTTTTCATTTATTTTTTTAAAATTTCTTCGTTCTCTCTTTATTTAATAATTAATTTCATCTAGAGAAAACACGTAATCGTAGTCAAAGTAGAAATCGTTCTGAAACTCATTTCGGTATACAACAATGGCCATATTATCATGATTTAGCTATTCAATCAGGTAAAACAAATGCTGATTATTATTTTCCTTTTTTTCTTTTTTTTTGTTTTCAAATCAAAAATAATTTTAAGGTCATTGTACAATATCATCTGAACTTGCATCACTTCGTCATTCTCGTCTTCATCGTTCCCTTTATAATCTTGTTTATACTCCAAATGATGAACTTAATTATTTTATTCTTTATATGGAATCATGTTCATTATCATCATATTTAAAATTTATTCTTGATATTCATGCATATGAAAAACTAGCTCGAGAAAATTTATCAAATAAAAATAATGATCTACAAATAGCAGCTTTAACTTTATTTCATCGATATTTATCAATTGATGCTAAATATTTAATTCCAATTGATGATGAAATTCGACAAATAACTCTTTGTATTTTGGATGAATTATTTTATAAATTTATTTTGCTATTTTTATTTTTGTATAGCCTTAATTTGTCCATCAAGTAATAGTATAATACCAGAGCACGATTGTTTTCATATGGCAAGAGAATATGTTTGGAAATTAATTGAACAAAAGTTTGTTTAAATGAAAATAAAAATAAGATGAACTTTGAATTTCAATTCTTTTTAGTGCATATCCTACTTATTTATCAAGTGCTTTTCATATTAATTATCAACTTAAAATGTTAACTAGTCATCAATTACAATTACATGATATTATTTATAATAGTTCATCATTATCATATTTTATGGAGGTAAGAAAATCACTTGTTTTTTTTTTCTTTATAATTTAATTTATTTTATTGATTTAGTTTGCAGAACATGAAAAAATTACAAATTTACTTCGTTTTTGGCTTGCAGTTGAACATTTTTATCAAAGTATAATTAATCGAATGATAGATAATCAAACATTAGTTGAAAATGCTATAGCTATTTATGATCAGTAATTATAAATTTTTACTCAAAAAAAAGAAATAAATATTAAATTTATATAGATATATATCATTACAAGCACCATCAAGATTAGGATTTGATGATGCTATTCGTGCAAGAATTGAATGTAGTATTTGTCAACCAGATATAAATGCTGGTCCATCATGTGATACATTTGATCAAACTGCATGGATTATTTATGTTATATTACAACGTGTAAATTAAAAAAATTTGTTCGTTTTTTTTTTAGAAAAATTTTTATTAATTAGGAATATTTTCCTCGATTTTTACAAAGTGTTATTTTTTATCGACATATTAGTGATCTTATGTTAAGATTACGTAATGAAGATCCAACACTTACATCACGATCATTAAAAACAATTGAATCTGGTAAGAATTTCTTTAGTAAAAAAAAACCCAATTGTAATTATGAAAATAGATACAACATCGACTAATTCGGATAATGTAATACAATCATCATCATCTCCACCAGTAGTAGCTACAACTACACAATTAAATCGTCAAAGAAATCCTAGTGTTTCATCATCTACTACAAGTCTTAATCAAGAACTTGCAAGTAAATCAAAAGGGTAAGATTTAAAATAAAATTGTTTTAGAAAAATCTTTGAATACTTTTGTATTTTATTTTTTGTTTTCGTCTAGAAAATTTTCTATGGGTTATGTTGATCCATTAGGTCGTTTTATTCGTGATCCTGATGTTGATTCTCTTGATAGTATTTCATCTTCAAATCGTAAAACAATTTCAAATCCAATTCAATTTTTAACAAATTTAGTTCGTAATGATCAAGAAGAACTTGTAAATATTTTTCTTTATTTTAAAATTATTTAAATACTATTTTGAATTTTATTTTAGGCAAGAGAAGAAGCAGCAGCTCGATTTGCTGAATCATTTATTAATGAAATAACTAGTATGACTGCAAATTTAGATAATGAATAATTTTTTCTTTTGTGATTATTTATTTATTTTTCAACACATTATAAACCAGTGTTTTGTTTCATTTTCTTTTTGTCAGATGAGTGTGTTGCTTGTTTTAACTAGTCATTTGTCTTTCATATAATTGTAATTTACAAAAATGATTTCCAATAAATTAAACTGAAATATAATTGAAAAGAGGAAAAATAAAAAAATAAAAACAAAAATTATTTTAGAATATGTCATCACCATCAAAACGTCTTCGTAAACATTCTCAAAATGAATTTATATCATTAATGATATCATCTAAACGTTTACCATCATCATCATTATCATATAATCAAATAACTGAATTAAATTTATCAAATTTACAATTAATTAAAATTGATTCATTTCCATTTGAATATTTACCAAATTTAATATCACTTGATTTATCATATAATCAATTAATTTCAATTAATTCAGATTGGTCAAAATATCATGAAAATTTTATTGAAAAATTAAATATAAGTCATAATAAATTAGAAACATTATTATTTCTTAAAGATTTTAAATATTTAAAAATATTAAATATAACTGAAAATTTATTTGGAAATATTGAAAAATTTTTATCTTTACATCTTTGTTCAACAATTGAACATCTTATTGATTCAAATTATGATCAAATTGATGATAATCAATTAAAATTAGATCAATGGTTACAATTAATTGAAACAAAAATTGATCGTTTATGGTCATTATCATATTATGATAAATATAAACAAGAATCAATTAATGATAAAAATAATCATATTGTTAAAAAGTTACTTGATGATTTTCATCATGCAATGATAAAAATTTTTGAAAAACAATCTAATTTTTCTCAAATACATTTATCACCATTAGCTAATTATTTAATTAATATTAAAATTAATGAATTATGTGAATCATTACCAAAAAAAAATCAATCAAAAAAAAGTTTAAAAACACATTTAACCACTGATTTTAATAATTTAATGAATTTAAAAACTTATTTTGAACCAATTAAATTTCTTCGTTGTCATCAAACATCTGATAATGATTTAACAACAATATCTGTACGAATGTGTGCATTTGAACCAAATACATCTAATCATATATTAGTTAGTTGTGGTGGTCAAAAAATATGTTTTATTGATTGTGATACATGTGAAGTAACACATCTATATGAAGTACCTTCATTACGTTCAACTACAATACCAATTGGACGAAAGATAAAAGATAAAAATGATAAAACAAATGGAGAATATTTTTCATGTTTATGTTGGATAGAAATTCCGCAAGAAAATGAAACTGTAAAAGTATTAGCAGTTGGTGCAACAAATGGACATATTTATCTTTTATCACATAAATGGAAAATTATGTTTGGACATATTGAATTACCTGTAAGTTATGATTTAGAATTGATAGAACTTTTTTAATGATTGGAGCAGCCGATCAATTTGATCTTTTCAACTGAACTGAGCGGCTGAAACTCTAGACAAGCATCGACAAAAACTAGTCTGTTCAAATACAGAATTAAATAATAAATTAATTAACTAACTAGTTCATTCGAGAAACGATTATTGTTATAGTTCTAAGAAGCAACTTATATGACTCAAAAAAAAAGCCTTCGCAATTCGTATAATGACACTTCTACCGATAGAAAGATAAAATGAACTACAAAGTACAAATCTAAATGGGACTTCCTATTCTTAAACTACTTAATACTCATATCTTTCAAACTATGGCCGTCGATAAAAATGAGTCAAATACATAAATCTCTATATTCTAAAAATGTCTAAGAAAACCGATGAAAAGAATTCGATTTCAACTCTTCTATAAGTAATTAATCATAATTATGTATTCTCAGGGTTCATCAATTAATTGTTTAACTTGGCATGCAACAGATCCATCAACATTAGTCATTGGTTCCTATCATAGTGTTCGTTATCTTAATATTCAATCCTATATTGATCGTCTTCTATCATTTATTCGTAAAAAAACTTCACCAACTGCACAATTTGATTATGTTGAATCAACAATGTTTGCTAACAAAATTTTATCGACACATGTTTATAATTTTGATAATGGTGATGATACAATTCTTCATATAACCGATTTACTTTTTTATTCACTATCAAAAACTAATATTCCACTTCTAGTTGGTACAAGTTCAGGTTTATTTGTTATACAAGAACAAAAACCAATGAGATTAACATTTCCAAAATCTATGTGTACCGTTGGTGAATATATTGAATCGATTCGTTTAATTGATAATCAAACTCATTTAATTGCAATCAATATTCTTGGTTTTGATCAAATATGTTGTTTCGATCTTGAACAATCTCTTCCAAATCAACAATTAAATATTATTCTTACATTACCAAATCCTTATCGACAAATTCCAACTAAAATGGCTTTATGTTTAACAAATAATGAAAATAATCATACATCAACAACAATATCATTTGAATGTATTATTGGTAGTGATCATGGTTCATTTTTTTATCATCAAATTCAAATGAATTCAATAAATAAAAAAGTTAAAAAACCAACATTTGATAATAAACGTTATGAAATTTCATGGCCACAAATTAAAACATCTACAATACCTAGTCTTCTTTCAGCTAGTCTCAATGATAATTATCTTTGTTTAACAACAAATAATAATTTGATATGTATATATAAACGAAAGTAATGTAGATTAGTTATTTTTGTTGTACTTTATTTTTGTGAAATAAAAAGAAAACCAAAAAAAAGGTTTATTAAACAAATAGTGATGTATGACTTGAATTTTGTCTATCTTTAAAACGTTGTACAGCATGATGACCTTGTACAAATGTTTCAAACATACCAGCTAATTTCGATGCATATTTACGATCACTTTCAAGCATTATTTGACGGTTACGTAATGCTCGAAATAAAATAAATGCCATTAAAAAATGATAAACAAGAAAAATAATTGTAAATAAACTAAGTCCATAATAATCAATCATTTTTGATATGCCCATATCTCGAATAAGAAAACCAATTATTGAATGCCATATGGAATTAAGTGAAATAAAAACTAATGAAATCAATGTATATTTATCTAATAAAGTTAAATAAGAAACAGGTGGAAGAAGACGAGATACCGACCAGCGAAACATAATAGAAGTTAGTAAAAGTGTTCCTATATAAAAAAATAAATTAGCTTTACTGACAAAGAAAAAATAAATAAATGTACCGGTAATTTGAAGACGACTATGAGGATACTCAGGTGAAACACCATAGACAGTAAGAGCAATAAGTGTAATTAGAAAAATAAGTAAATAAACATTCCAATAGAAATAACCAGGTCGACGAGCAACACAACAAGTCACTAAAATCAATAGTAACCTATATTAAAACTCACATTCATCATATAGAACGTACCAAGATAAGTTGATTGACGAATAGGTCGAAAACTAAAATCTTCTGTTGTTATTGTTGAACGTGTTTCAATATGTTCATAAAGAAACCATTCTTGTTGTGCTATCAAAATATAAACATTACTTATCAATCAATTATATTTTATTTTTTCAAATTACCTAAGAATGCTTCACGATTAACCATTGATGGTTGCAAACGATTTTCAACTAAAATACATTCTTCAATTGGACATCTTGTAACTATTTGTAATGAAAGTTGTTGAACATCAGCTGGAAAACTGTTTAATTCAAGTTTCTCCCAAAATGTACCAGCAACTTTACGTATTTCCCAAACATAAATAATATCATATTCTTTAGCCTCACCAAAAATAGGCTCATCTAAATGATTTACTAATTCACTTGCAATTTCTTGTTTAACATCACCAAGTGCATTTTTAACATAAAGATTTGGATTCCATGAAGCTGCTTCTGGATCATATAACCATCGTGCTTCAATAACAACTTCAGCGTAAAATTTTTCATGTAATGTATTTACCTGTTTATATTGATAATAAATGAATAAACATTAAAAAAAACAAAATAATACTTACTTCACCAAGACGAATAAATTTAACACGAAGTGAAACTTCACGTGGTGGTTTTACTTTTGGTAAAGTATTTAGTGTTTTTGAGTAATTATTCATAATAACTTGTTGAATTTGTAAATCTTGATGATTAGAAATTGGATTGATGACTAGATAATGAGTATAGAATATATAAAACAAAAGAAAAACCTCGAGAAAAATTGTCTGTACTTGCTGATATGACTGCAGAACTTGCGCCTGAAGATGCATCAGATATCGTATGATCATAGGCAGATGTTCGATTAATATGTCCACTTGTTATTGATCGTCTATGTTGTACTATCGGTATTGTTGTAAGAGGATGTGAACTTCGTTTTACTGATTCGAAATAGGAATCCGATCGATTTGCAGTCGACATTATCGATATAATAAGTTAGATATTTGATTTTGTAATAAACAAGAAATTCTACATCGACAATCCATGAAAAAAAATCAAATGACAATAAAAAAAGACGTATCACGATACTAATGACGACAATAAGTGTCCTTGATCGGAAATAATATAATCACTTATCTCCGATTTTCCAATCTCATAAATGCATCAATTTGATAAGACACATTGTTTCCTATCAAGTGCTTGGCATACACTTACGTCTCATTTTCTTGTTTATGTTGTAATACAAAAAAAAAGTACCAGATGACAATGAAAAATAAAAAAGGAAATCGAGTAAGACAGATGACGCATAATGAGAAAAAAAATGTATGATAATAGAAAACAAAAAAAAAAGAAGAAGAAGAATGTTGAATCGATTGATTCACTTAATCATTTTTAGAGTTTCTATTGTTTAGAACATGAGTGACAACTGAGAATATCAATATCGTTGTCGTTGAGCGACCTCTTGTAAATAAATTCCATCGGTATTAGCAAACGCGAATAGAATGTTATAGCTGTAAACAACAAATAGAAGGATTGAATTCTACTTGAGTTTTATTTAAAGAAAAAAAAAAATAAATGGCTTTCATTCGACATTCTCTCATTAAAGTAAATTAAAATATTCAACATAAAAAAGAAACATCACATGAATTAATTTGATTCTTTATATTAATATGTAGCTTGCGCCGGTATCAACAAAATCTATTTTAACAGTACAAAAACGTTTTTATTTATTACTTCATGAATATGTTTCCATGGGATTACTTGAAGAAGCTGGAATACGTGTACCAAAATTTCGCATGGCTCAAACAGTCGATCAAGCCTATCAAATAGCTTCAAGTCAAGGTTGAAATTTTTATTTTATTTTTTTCATAATAATATATTTAATTGTTTGTTTAGAACTTGGTAATGATCTTGTTATTAAAGCTCAGATTCTTGCTGGTGGTCGAGGTAGAGGAACATTTGATAGTGGATTGAAAGGTGGTGTAAAAATGAGTTTTTCGTAAGATTTCATATTTATTTATACAATTGAAAAAGAACACTTTTTTTGTTTGTTATAGACCTGATGAAGCAAAACAAGTTGCATCTAAAATGCTTGGTCATCGTTTATATACAAAACAAACAGGTCGTGAAGGAAAACCTGTTAATCATATCATTCTATGTGAAAAATTATTTACACGACGAGAATATTACTTTGCAAGTCTGTATTTTTCATTTTGTGGTTTTTTTTTTGAAATTCTATGTTTCAAAGTCCGATTTGTTTTTAGTGGCATTAGAACGACGTTTTGATGGTCCTGTAATTATAACATCAACTCAAGGTGGTACACATATTGAAGAGATTGCTGCTGATCATCCTGAAGCTATCATTCATCATCCAATTGATATTGTTACTGGTCTTGAACGTAAAGATGCATTGAGTATAGCAGAAAGACTTGGTTTTCGTAATGAAGCTCTTCAAGAAGTTTGTTTATTTTTTTGAAATTTTTTTCGTTTTATGTGCATAATTATATTTTATTTTTCTAGGCAGCTGATACAATGATGAAATTATATAATTTATTTATTACGAAAGATATTGTTCTTTTAGAAATTAATCCATTAACTGAAGGATCTGATGGAAAAATCTATTGTTTGTTTTTTCTCTTTTTTTTGATCTGAAATAAGAGTATAATTTTTTTGCTATAGGTATGGATTGTAAGATTAATGTTGATGATAATTCAGAATATCGTCAACATGCTGTATTTGATCACAAAGATAATGCACAAAAAGATTGGCGTGATGTTAAAGCTGAAGAAGCTAATTTAAATTATATTGGTCTTGATGGTGAAATTGGATGTCTTGTTAATGGTGCTGGTTTAGCTATGGCTACAATGGATATAATTAAATTACATGGTGGTAATCCAGCTAATTTTCTTGATGTTGGTGGTGGTGCTTCAGCTGCACAAGTTAAAAATGCATTTGAATTAATTACTGCTGATCCACGAGTATGTCAAACAAAAATTGATTTCGTACGTAACGGTCAATTTATTTCGTTTTACTCAATTAGGTACAAGCTGTGTTTGTCAACATATTTGGAGGTATTATGAGATGTGATGTTATTGCTCAGGGTATTGTTGCAGCTGCTAAAGAACTTAAATTGACTATACCAATTGTTGTACGATTACAAGGTAAATTATTCTTAATTTATATTATTTGAATGAAGTTTTGATTGAATAAATAGGTACAAGAGTTGATGATGCTAAAGCAATTATTGCTTCCAGTCAATTGAAAATACTTCCTTGTGATGATCTTGATGATGGTGCTCGATTAGTAAGAATAGTATTGTTTAGTTAATTAATGTCATAAATTATTTTATTTTATTTCTAGGTAGTGAAACTAGCAGAGATTGTTAGTTTGGCTCGATCGGCTTCGATTGCTGTTCAATTTGAATTACCAATTTAAATTTTTCTATATTGAGGATCTTTGTTCCGGTACATCTTTCCGATGTAGACCAGATTATAAAATTTATACTGAACTTTGTTTGACTAGTATAGTAAATTTTTGTTTGCTGATTGAATATTTTTTTCCTTTCCGTTGTCAAATGTTTATGTATGTAGAAACATACTCTTGTTTCTCATAATACCGAGAAAAAACCATATCTTTGTATCTTTTTTTTAAATACTTTTTATTTGAAATATACAAAATATTGATAAAGAAAAATATATCTTTAACATGAAGATACTGTCTTGATTGAAATTAGAATTAAAATAGAATATTTTCACTCATATAAAATCTAATGATAAATAGTTTCATCCTGTTAACACTATCTAGATATAGCATTTGATATTAAAAGACTAACTTTTTCTTTCGTAAAACTGTGCATTAAACAAGCTTTTTTGTCGATTATGTAAATTAATAGTCATCATTATTCGGATTTCGTAGAATCAAAACCAACCATCATCAACATCACAATATTGACCACTGTCATATCCACTCAGTACGGGATAATATTCGGTAGTAATACGTGTTATTCGTTGGTTGTCTAAAAGAGATAGTATAGTATTTGATTAAGAATACTTTAGATTTGCATCAAAGATCGAAACGAATATCGAAATCTTCATTCGTATCACATTCGAATTAGAGTGTTACAGAAACATGATATTCTTATTATCGTTATTTACATATTTAAAACAAAACGTACGATAGAAAGTAGTTAAATCATTCATATAAGTTGAATATTAATGAACCCGAGAGCAAAGTAATTGACTTTTGAAAGCTCAGAATTTCATGTAAGAAGTGCATCTATCGAAGTTGATCGCTACAAAAATTATTTGAAAGAAATAATTATAAACAGAAATGACTTAATACTATCGAGATTATTATAAATAATTCTATGCCGTATTTATTACTGATATATAAATGCTGTATATAAAATTGAAAAGTCTAGTGAAAAAAGATGATCTATACTCACATTCATACTCCTTCGAAATTGAATATTTCGTTAGATCAGTCGCATAACAATATTTATGATGATTTCCTAAACAATTTTTTTCCAAAAATCTTTCTTTATGATGTTGTATCATATTGAAAAATGGATGAAGTTGTTGTATGATAAGAATATTGACTTGATCATTCATTTGATCACAATATAATTCACAATCAAATTTTTCTAAAATAGGTGTATGAATGCGAACAATATTATTTAATCTTTTGAAATGCTCTAATATTGATTGTTCACGAATTATTCCTGTGACACGCAACTGTTTTAGATTAGGCATATATGGAAGTATCTTTTCGAGATCATTAGATGGATTTACAAGACTAATTCGTAGATGTTTAAGTGAAATGTGACATGTATCAAAATTTAACGATTGATTAACACATTGTGCAAAACTTGTTTCGAATCGACGTAAATTAGGTAGAAGATGGAGTAAAGGACCCAGTGTTGATACATTCGAAATATGATGGATAAGTGTACGAATTGTATTATTTGGTAATCGATATTGCTTGTGAAATTCTTGTGTATGATGAATGCTGTCTGAGAATTGACAAACTTTAAGTGATGGAAAATGCTTAGTGTCAAGAACAGAATGTAATATTTCATCCCCACAGCAAGATATATCACCAAAAAAGAAAAACCGCTCAAGATATGGCAGCTCAACAGTGAGTATCTATAATTATAAAATATGTTTCGTATTTTTGTATTAATGTCTCAATAGTATGGCAAATAGCACACAATAATTCAATTTACCTGAGCATATTGTCTTTGCAAAAGACGAGTGTAATCAAGTTTCAGTGAACGTAAGTTTGTATAAAAGTGTATATCAAATGCGTCCCAAGGGTAACATAATTCCAGACGGATGAATTTATTTGGAAGAAAACTCTTCAGATGATTGAAATCTTTTTGTTTTTTTATGACGATGTTTAGTTTTACATCACATATAATATTATTGATTCGTTGATTTTGTCCTATGAAACTATGAAGATCGATTGGTTTTAGATATTTGAAAATTTTAAGAAAAATTTCATTTGGCAATATTTCAAGTCGATTTGAAGTCGAAGATAGAATATCATTCATGATAATCAAAAAACTATCTTTATTATATCATATCCGATGAATTTACTATGCTTATGGGAACTCTTTGTGATACAACTGGTAAAAAACCCACTGATATTATTCATCGAAAAAACTGGAAGTTTCATCTTTACAAGTGATGAAAGGCTTTTCATTCGTCGATTATATTTTCCAATTGATGTCTGAGATTTGATACTAGCATTTAATTCATACGTCATTTAATTAATTAATAAAAAATTTAGAAAATTTATCAAGTTCGCTACACTCAATGGTTTTTAAGGCTTTATCGATAATAAGAGATAGGGTGCAAATGAAAACTGTTGTTAAGTTATTTGCTTATCTTTCATCTTGTAACACAAGCAAAATCTTTTGTAGAATGGCCAACTCTAAAAGATACACAAAATATTGCAGAGAAAATTATAAATAAATAAAGATGAATCAGTAAAGAAAAAAATTTATGCAATAAAGTATTAGCCCGATAAAATACGAAATGTTCAAAAATCATACGTATTTGTTAATGAAACTCCTCTAAAGAAACTGTCTCTAGTGCGTATTTTGCCCACTCATCTCGTTAATTTTTACAACAAAATACGATGCGTTCAGATAAAACTCGATGAACTCTATTAAATTCACCAAATATGAGTGTAGTTATACACGATTCAACATGTTATGCTGTGTTTGTACATATAACTATGCATATAGTTCAATATATTTGAAACAGTTATCGTATTCTGACCGAAATGGAACATTTTAGTTTATCGAAAGTTCTTCCAGTTAAATAAAGTCGCGAACTATTTTCTTTGTGAATACTGATGAAAGATCTATCATTTAATATTGAGTCCTATCCTGATAATAACTGTGGTGTTCTTTTTTTGAAGGTTTGAGTTTTCGAATTATTTCTTTATGATACTAATTTTCTTGAGCTTGGTAGTGATGCTTCAGCTGCACAAGTTAAAAATGCATTTAAACTAATTACTTTTATGAGGTGTTCAATAAGTTTAGACATATTGTGTGAGGTACACTCGTAGATGATGCTCGATTGGTAAGAATATTATTGTTTACTTATGTTATATTATAAATTAATTTTTTTTGTTTGATTTCAAAATAGTGAAAGTAGCTCATATTGTTAGTTTGACTTGATTGGCTTGAATAGCTCTTCGATTTCAACTTCCAATTTAATTTTTTCTGTATAGTCCATCTTTCTTTTAATACATCTATCCGATATAGTTCATGTTACGAACTTTATACTAGTCTTTGTTCAGTCAACATAGCGAATTTAAGTGTTGATTTAAGATATCTTTCTTTATGTTTTTCAAATGTTTATGTTTACAAAAATAAAGCCTGTTTTTTGCTATAATATTAAGAATAAAAATATATTTGTTTCTTGTTTTTTTTTTGAATACTTTTCGTTTCCAATATGACAATTTTGACATAGAAGCAAATGTAGTTTACATTGAATTTTGATTTTGCTTATCATCATAATTAAAATAGAATATCTTATTCATATCAAGTTTACTGACAATAGTTTCATCGTTTCAAAATTATCTATATTCAACAGTTGATATTGAAAACTAGGTTTCACTTTGTTAAAACTGTAAATTAAACGAGATCTTTTTATCAGTTATTCAAATTAATAGTTATTGCTATGATTTTTACATAGAAAAGATCAATCAGTTTCTTTGTATGGTTTAAAATTGCCATGTTCATAATTAAGTCAGTCATCATCATCGTCATAATATTCACCGTTGTCATCTCTATACATATCATCCCAATACTCAAAAGAGTCGTATAGTGTTCGTTTTCTATCTAAAACATATGATATCACATGCGTTTTAAATTCTTTTAGATTTCTATCAATAAATTCTATCTATCATATACCATATTTACCACTAGTATATAATCACTGCATATAAAATTGAAAAGTTATATGAAGTAAATTTTCTATACTCACATGCATACTCCTTCGAATACGAATATTCCTTTAGATTAGTCGCGTAACATTGATAGGGATAATCTCCTAAATGACGTTGTATTCGTTTGAAAAATGGATGAAGTTGTTGTATGATAAGAATATCAGTATGATCATTCAGTCCATTACAATATAATTCACAATCGAATTTTTGTAAAACAGGTGTATGAATACAAAGAATATCAACCAATTTTTTGAAAAACTCTAGTCCCGATTGTTCACGAATCATCCCTGTGACACGCAACTGTTTGAGATTAGGCACGTAGGGAAGTATCTTTTCGAGAGCATCAGATGGATTTAAGAGACTTATTTGTAAATGTTCAAGTGACATGTGGCACATATCGAAATTTACTGGTTCACTGATAGATTTTGAAAAACTTGTTTTCAATCGACGTAAATTAGGTAGTAAATTGAGTAATGGACCTAACATTAATCCACTCCATTTACGAAGGTAAAGTGTACGAATTGTCACATTTGGTGTTTGATTGTGTATATTAACATCTAGCATGTGGTAACGTTTTCCAGAGAATTGACAAACTTTAAGTGATGGAAAATGCTCGCTATCAAGAATATATGATAATAATACATTCCCGAAGGCATGTGGAATATTAAAAATGGATAACCGCTCAAGATATGGCAAGTTAACAGTGAGTATCTATAATAATAATAATAATAATAATAATAATATACATCCGTACTTTTGTGTTAGTGACTCGATAGTTTAACAGAAAACCACACAGTCGTTCAACTTACGTGATCAAATTGACTTCTTAATAGAAAAGTGCAATTGAGTTTCAGTGAGCGAAGCTTTGTATATAGATGTAAATTTAATGCGTTCCAATAGTGACTTAATACCAAACGAATGAATTGTTTTGGAAGAAAACTCTTCATATAAGTCAAATCTTCTTCTCCAGGACATTCAATGATGATATTTAGTTTTACATCGCGTATAATATTATTGATTCGTTGATTGTGCCCTATGAAACTAGGAAGATCGATTGGTTTTATATATTTGAAGATTTCGAGAAAAATTTCATCCGGAAGTATTTCAAACCGATTTGAAATCAACGACATAATAGTGTTCATGATAATAAGGACATTATCTTTAATATATAAAAATTTTAATCAGTTTACTAATGTAGTCAAACAGCTACTACACAACTTGGAAAACAAAAACGCACTAGTATTACTCATCGGAAAAATGGAAGATTTCATATTTAGATGGAAGGAAAAACTTTTCCTTCATCATATTCTATTTTATCATTGACAATCAGAAAATTCATGCGTAATTTAACCAACTAATTGAAAATTGAGTCACTTATCAAGTTCGCTACACTCAATGTTGTTTAATATTTTTTCATTTGTAGAATTGCACAAATGAAATTTCATGTTACGTGATCCTATTATCTTTCACCTTGTATTTGACATGCTTATCATACATCGATGTGTCACATATAGAGAAGAATCGTAATAGAAAGTAAAGAAACCTGAGTTTAATAATCACAGGAGTACGATAAATAATATGTGGAATGGATGCGTTTTTCGGCTTGTCAAAACGTAATGCTATTACGTTTTTAACATATATTATAAAAACGAAGTTTTTTGGTTGAACCCTCAAGCATCTAGAAAAGTTTTATTTCTGCATTACGCTTCTATATAAAAAGATCTTAAATTTTGAGGTTTCTTCTTTGAGTTGTAATTTACTTTGAAAGTTGATCTTCAAATGTAATGCTCATAGAGTAAGTTTTTTAAAGCAGTGAATGGGCTTTCAAAGGTAAAAAGAAACAAACCTAATGCTGTTATACCTTTTTTTCTTAGATTGTTGTTTACTTTCTATCCCACGTAGATTCGTGTGAATCGATTGTTTCAATTTCCAAAGAGAGGTGTTAGGTCTCTATGAGGTTCAAAACGTGTTCACAGGTTCTAGGTTCGTAGAATATAAGTATATTCTATGTGATACATCAGTTTTCTTCTGCTGAGAACTGAGGCCAGACCTTCTTTCCGCTGAAAAGTTTTTTTCTATTATCTTTGTTTCTGTCTTTTAACGTAAATAAACAACAGTTTGGTCGGTGAAACATTTTTCTACCCCTTTTCGACTGCTTAAACCGTAGGAATTTTTTAGTTCGAGAATTCTTTTCTAAAGTAAGTGATGTTTGAATGATATTTTCGACATTAGCAACAACATTTGGTTTTATGAAATTCTGTAAACAACAACTATTTTCTAATACACTATGTGTTTGAACTAAAAAAAATATAATTTTTGTAATAATATAAGCATGACTCAATATGACAACATATACTTCCGTCCACTTTCAATCAAAAGTATAAGAAAGAAGAAGAATTAACAAACCCGAAACAATTATCATAAGATAATATTACTGTCCATAGACGTCAACAAGTAGAGAAAAATATGTTTTTAGTGAGATATACACAAATATATGCATATATTTGTGTATATAAAGAACTGATGCAAAGTATTAAGACCAACGTATTCTTTATTGTTTACTTACGATATCAAACTTTTAACTCCAATCCAAATCTGGGTTTGAACAGCCAATGAAGTTCGCTATCAAATACACATACCATATCAAAATTTCATAGATAGACTATGAGGAGAAGATTTCTCAGAAACCAAACATGGCCATTTTCAAACTCTAGAACACTGTTTGAAAATTACACCTTAAGCATACCAACTTAAAGAATAGACAACCATGAATAAAATGAGGAATTGCTGCATTTCGTATGATCTTTCTATAAAAAGCTATAAGTATATCAAGAATTAGTTAAAAAAGAAAGTTTAACATAAAATTGCTAAAGATTGGCTAGAATAATGCATTTTTTAAAATTTTTGTAATATTTATCATTTTGAAAGAGAAGGTAGTTAGAAATGTGGCAATCCTTCACTTTATTCATAATTATGTGCTGTGTAAGATGAGATGCTTAAAAATTGATTTTTACAATAGTCGCCTGCAACCTGAAAAGCACGATGTTCGTTATGGAATACATTTTCTGGCAAAATTTATTGGCTATTCAAACAGCTATTTGGGTTTGAGACAAATGTTTGGTGATGAAAAAAAAATTAAAAATTCGTTGGTCTTATATTATTGATCAATAATGTATTGATGATAATATTGTAACGCTCCCGGTTGATCGGATTGAATACATGATATTTAATCTTCTCCTATCATTCACTCTTATATTATATATATTGTCCTTACCTTTCTATTCTTCTGCTTCTGTCTTCTCTCTATTGTTCTTCTATATATCGCTTTTCTCCTTGGCCTCATCTCCTTACTTTTCATCCTCTCTTGTTCTACTTGCATATATAAGCCTGTGTTTTGTATATAAAAGATGCGATTATATGATATGAAAGAATAGAATAAAGTGCAACCACATCCACACTAGTATCTTTTCTATGAATCATCGCCACAAATATCATTTACTTTTGATATTGAAATGATTTTCATTCGGATTTTAGCTCACGATAAATATACACTTGAGTCATGTAAACCAACTCGCCAATATTAAGTTCACCATTACGAGAATTTTGGGGTCAAAGATACGATTGATTTGTTCATACAGTTTTAAAAGAATTATTTTTAATTCTTAGTCCTTCGCCATTCATCGATATTGAATGGAAACCAAAACTACCTTTACCGAATATTTGTCCACAGCAAATTATTTTCAAGGAAAAGACGAATCCTTTATTTTACGTTTTTTTTGTGAAACTAGCTAATTAATGTTTTAGTATTGAATTTGATTTATTCATTATGGAAGCATGTTTTCTTGATTGAAAGGATAAGATATAGAAATGGAAACTCCTATGTGTCTGTCTGTCTCTCCACCAATACCATTTGGTATAATCGACCATATTGATGGTATAAAAGACCACAGGCATGGCGTAAATAACCAGAAGGATGTTACAAGTATGGTTCAAACGATCAAAGATTTGGTCGAAGTGGTGTGTGCGCATGGGTGGACAAGGGTATGATTGTAGATGTGAATATAGGTACTTATCTCGTGTGTAGCCATATCCTACACTCACATTAAAACTCACAACCACACCCAAGGGGTAAATGACTGATTCAAGTGACGTCAAATTATCGAAGTCATTAAAGTCATTTTAAGTCAATTAAGTCAAAAAACGTCATGAAAATCATGCGTAACGGAGCATTAATAAAGAATAAAAAATAATAGATTTTTATTCAATCTCGACGACGTGTTGTCTAAAATATTTTCTTTATATTCGTTTTCAACGATATACACATACAAAGAAAACGAGAAAAAGGATACATAATATTAATAATCGTATAAATCTCTTTTATATAGATTTTGCATGTATTTGAAACACTATCGAGACGAGCAAGAAACGTTATCGAGTTTTAAAAAGCAAGATTGCAACTAAAAAATGGCGATTCTGTAGATCTCTAATGATGAAATAGGTTAGGTTCTCCTTGAAAAACTTATTCGTATATATTCATATAATGTAGGAAATCTTACGATCTATACTGATTTCAGATGAAATCCGAAAAATTTTCCTCTAGAACAGTGCCTATCCATCTTCGGTTGGCAATAGCACTGTTGATACCGTATGTTACAACTGGGCTGGTAGTTCATGTTATTGGTCGAATTCGATTCAAATTATTAAATGTATTGCATATTATGTCTTTTTCCTAGTTGATCCACCAGTGTGCGATTTACGATACTGTACTGTGTAATGAAACTTACCCGAAAAAGAACAATCGTCCATATTACAATGATCTATTGAAACATCTATGACAAAGAAAATGACACCCATCAATACATCCAACAATCATTCATGCTTCTGAACTTGAATAATTAATATAAATCTTGTTGAATTTCTTCATGCAACTTTCATCAACCTAACATTCTGCACTAACTTTTTATCAAAATTGCATGCCCTATATCGTGCCATTTCAACTTTTTTGTCGACTAGTAGAATTTCTTTATTGATTGATTCCAATTTTCGATTCTGTTTCTCTAATGGCCAAATTTTAAAAACTACTGCTGTTGAACTTTTGGATTTTTCTCAAATGGTCTCCTTTGCTTGATGACTTTTTCAGAGCTTCTTGTATGTCATTGGACTCATATATTTCCTTTAGAATTTGAAATAGCTACTTAAACCATCTGATTAGTTCAGCATTCCAAATCAACGCACGTGATAAGTAAGTTCCAAACATACCACTGCAGTTCATTGTTGTCCTATCCTAAATTAATACAATGAGTCCTACAAGAAATGAAAATATCAATTGAGAACTCCCATTGAAAAGAAGAAGATGCAGTGTATAGAACGGCAAAATTTGTCATCATCTTTCTTATATCTGTCGCAGTGATTGATAATTTGAACTGTGGATGGTTTTAAAGATGAAATATACTCACCACTACATACACATGAGTGTATGTAATTTAAGTGTATGATGTGTGAAAGAAAACCAAGCCTCTGTTAAATATGCGACTGTACTCTCATTATGCATCGTCAGTTTCAAT